GATAAGTCCTTAATGTATAAACACATATGTGTTTAAGGTAAATTCGAAATTGGTCTTGTCGGCGTGACGTGCCTCGCCTAGTTACTCCTATTTAGGTAATAGAAAGTGAACCGAGGTAGGGGCGTCACATTTCCGCCCTCTCCGAAATAAGTAACCAGGTGTCCATAAGCTTTGAAAAGCCTATTCTCTTGGATTTTGAGGTTTGCACCATTCATCTTGAAAGCCAAAGTCTTGCCGGTTAGATATAAAAAAGTGATGGCCATAACATCAAGTAAAATCATTGACATGTGCTATTTTAAGAACTAGAATTGATTGATATAGGGATTCTAGAAGGTAACCATTATAGCAATTAAGCTAGAATTTATGGTGTAAGAGTGGGTTGATAAAAGGATGACCTCGTAGATTCCCATTGTATCCCATTTCTTATCTAATTAAGGGATAAGTCTCTTATTAACCTAGTATTCGTATTTAGTGTCCGGTTTTGGCCACGTAATAGGAAAAGCCTTGACGGATTGGATCCAATTTTAGAGAGTTGAGTAAAGTTTAGGAAAAAAGAGTATACCGAGTCTCGCAAGTCTTTAGAAAGACCGCATCAATCATCTCTATAAGATGAACCAATTTAATGTTGACGATAGGACCCGACATCAAATAAAAACTTTTCTATGGGTTCTTATACCTAATCACTCGTTGGTGTATACCACGGAAGCCAATCATAGCTTGATTGTACTAACACATACTTATCATGTTATTATTATTATATATATGTGAGGCATTCCATTTATTGTATTTATTTATTCCTGTGTTTTATTAAATAAATATGATAAAGTCCCAATAATATCAATATTCTTAAATGTTCTTAGTTAAGTGCTTTATTATAGATATATTAAAGGAGAAATAATAAAACATAGAGACCGATATGTGTATTGATCGATAACAATTTGTTATGGATATGAGATATCAAGTTGACACATGTGTACATATTGAAGAACATGTACTCGGATCGACCCGCCATGAGATCACTACATGAATCGTTATATGAGTGTTATAAATTGGTCTCATTGGGACTATGGTGTATGTGATCTTTCAACTTGAAGTCACTATGATTTTCTACATGAAAAATCGTATATTTTGATACCATCAAACATCATCTATAACAAGATGGACTATAAAGTTGGTTTTAGATATACCATGAATCATACGAGAGGGATGTGAGTGATATAGATAGGATTTGTGTCTCCTATCTAATAGGAGTGATGTCTATGGGCCCCTTGATTGAGTGAGATTGTGAAACGCTAAGATTAAACTATATGAGGATGTTTATGGGCCCTATGTTTAAATGAATCAATATGAGATATCGGTCTCATTTGTTTAGAGCGATCAACTCATGAATCAAGAAATGTTAAGATTAAACTATATGAGAATGACCCATTCCATGTCTCATGTTTAATCTAGGCATCTAGGACAAAGGAACTACACTATATGGTAACATATGTCATGGATAAGGTTATATCGAATCATCGACATTCTTATTACTTAGGTAGTAGTGATGCATTGCTAGATGCCACTCACTATTTATGATTCTAAATTATAATTTTAAGATCACTACTAGCTTAATAAGAACCTAAGATCACTGCTAACATAATAAAAACCTATAGGGTCACACACAAAGAGCGATTCAAAATTGGAGTATGACTAAAAGTCCTAATCGGATTAAGATTCTTATTTAGGTTAAGATTCCTAATTGGATTAGGATTCAAGGTTGGGTTAAGATTCCTAATGAGTTTAAGATACATTCTAGATTATAGTATTTAATTATACTAATGGACTGGTTCGATTAAGACATATAAAATGGGTTTAATGAAGTCTAAGTCCAAGTGTCGTTAACATTAATCTATCAAAATAATTAGCCCATGTTTTTCTCTCCCTTAGGGTTAGAAAATTATTTTCCTAGTAGAACTATGGCTCACACACATTTTGGTTGCTTTAAAATACAACAAGTATGTAATATTTATATATATTAATTGTGAAGACGAAACCTTAAGCATTTTGAGAGAAAACCTTAGCCACCTTGAGTGAAAGAGTGATCCAATCTTTAAACACCACAACTCATAGTTAGCACTTTGACTTAAGGTGATTCTCTATTCCAAAATTGTTCTGGTGATTGACACATTCGTGTGGATATCGATAGAGGTGCAGTTCATAGATCTATGTTTATGATTTAGACATTTTTCACATAAGAGACATGATCTACGCTACAAGAGGTAATGATTCGTTCCTCCGACTTTATTGTTTTTGTATAGATCTTGCGGCATTTTAAAGTAATTTTTTTATATATGAGATTATTTCGTTGCATCAACTCTTGTTGTATTACTTTGAATCCTTACAATCATAATATCAACAACGTCATTCTAGTGACGAGTTTGGAATAAGTATGTGTTAATTGCATCCAATTGCTTGAAGAGCTCATTTAATCGATAGCATTCTCCCAAAGGGTAACTCTCTCTTAAATGACTTTTTTTCAAAGATTTAGTATTTCCTTTTAGAGCTATTTTTCATAAATGAAAGAAGTGAGAGAGGAATTAAACAAAGACAACAGGAATGTTCGATAGAATGTCGAAATAAAGCAAAGGTTTTTATCTTGTAAGGTCTAAGTAGAGGAGAAATCATAGTAATATTGAAAATGTTAAAAATCACCTTTCCTTTTATATGATATATTTTAAGGGTTGTGATGATTAAGCTTTAACGTTTGACAATTCGGATGTGTTGAAATAAAAACCACCGACTATTGGGTACCCAAAGGATGAAAGTGATTGCAAATAGCTATTTAAAAAATGGAAAGGCACGTGGTCTCATCACTTCTATCAACATTTAATGTTTTGCCTATTAGAGAAAGAAATTTTTATTATTTCATCTCTAAAAGACTAAAAGAGGGGCATGTGTTAGCACTTCAAAATTTAAAAAGCCACGCACCGATCAAGTATGGCATCTTCCTAAAATGAAATAGTAAGACATAAATGAAACGATACGCTTAGTCTTATATCAATCAAGTTTCGATGAAGCATTAAGACTTAATTGAAAGGTGCATTTGATTTATAATCAACCAAGTTTCGACGAAGCATTAAGTCTTAAATAAAACGGTACGTTTGGTCTTATAACCAACAAAGTTTCAACGAAGCATTAAGATTTAAATGAAACAATACATTTAGTTTTATAACCAACAAAGCTCAACGAAGCGAGTAAGGCTTAAATAAAATAATACGTTTTAGTCTTTCAATTAACCATATTTGACGAGATAACATGTTTAAAGAAAACAAATAGATAGTTTCCGACAACTCGTTCATGGCCAACTTCAAATCCGAGGTAGTTATTGGTCGAGACCTATTTAAAAAAGGGGTACTAACGGAATCGGGACATAATCAACATAAAAGACTTTTTCAACACAAATTTATTCAAATTTTCTAGTTTATCCTATAATAATTAGTTTTACATTTCTACAAATAGTTCAATAACTTTTACTCGCTTTCAATAGTTTTGTTATTGTAACTCGTAAAGTGTTGATTCGTCATTAACAGTGGACAAGTGGCTTCGAGTGTTTTGATGGCTAATGATGTAAGTGTCATACTTTTCAATTTATGATATTTATACTTTTTTAAATAAGTTTTATCTCTTTCGATTGACGAAATTCTCTCTATCTTCCGAACGTTATATCTTTCAATTAATATCATTCCTTTTATTTTATTTTTTTCTTTAAATTGAGTACCAACGGAAAGTCCTAGTGGCTTGTTAAGAGAAATTGAACCCTATATTATTTCATCGTGAAATTCTTGGTCATAAATTGAAGTGTTGATATACTTCATTTTGAGATCGAATTCAGCAAGTAGTAACAATTAGGAAGAGTTTGAATTTAATTGAAAAGAAATCCATCATGTCTCATGGTTATTGCTTTGAAAAACTAGGAAGATATATTCATGAAAAGGAAAATATATATTTAGATGAGAACATAGCTTTGGGTTGATTTTTGTGCGAGAGATTTAAGAGTTTGACCAAATAAAAGAGAAAAAGGAGGACACCATTATTGTTATTTTAGAGGTTGAAAATCCATGGGAAAGCTTGAAGATTATATAGAGAGTTGAGAAATTGGGTTTTTGCTCGATTTCTCATAGATCGTGTCACCGATAAGATCGTGATTCTCAAATTAATTTTAACGATTGGATGATATGACTAGAGACTCATGTTATATTTACCAACTAAATAAGAGATAATCTAACATGAGTCGTGCCAATCAAAACACACCATAATTTAATAGTAAATTATAAGTTAATCTCTCTATTTTTAGGAAATGAATTAGTTATTTCTTATTAGTTAAAAAAAATTATGTAGTTTTTTAATTAGTGTCAATCATATTTAATTTAATATTAGTTTCTTTTTAAAATGTCATTTTTTTCCTCATAAATCTTTCTATATTTTTTAATAATTTTTTTATTTTTTAAAGAAAAAATAAAATAAATTAAAAAAATAAAAAATATTAAGTTAGAAAAAAAATTTAAAAAATATAAATAGTAAATAATTAGTTTTTGAAAAAAAATATTAATTAATTCTTATCTTGAAACTAGAGTTACTCCGTTATGATTTACTCCATAATTTAGTGGCTGAATTCAGGAAGGAAAAAAAAAAAAAAAAAATTCTATTAGGGAGTGTTAATTCAAAAAGGTCCATACGCTATAGTACGGTTGGTCTTCTAAATTGGGTGGAAGATCCATCCGTTGGAAGTTGAAAACCAGCCGCATCACAAAAAGCGGTGAAAATCGGACGGTCCTGATCAGCAAGAAGCAGACAGCGAAAATCTAAGTTTATAAAATCGGCGAGTTGCTTTCGCCGTTGAAAATTTTGAGAGCCAGAATGGGGCAGAGTTTGGCGCCATTTTTTTCACTGTCTAATATTCCATGTACTTCAATCAAAATTTCACATCTCCATAACTTCATTCTGTCTAGGAATACGAAATGCAGCGTCAAAAATCGATACTCTCATTCTTCCAGAAACCCTCGCCGCCCAATCAGAGCTCCGGTGCCGGAGAAAAGAACGACTGTCGGCGAACTCCTCTGTTCTCGGCGAAGCAGCAAAACCAAATCTTAGATCAACCTGCGATTCATGGACCGGTGGACTCGTCTCTGGAGGTTAGAGGAACTGATACGCCACCAGAAAAGGCGCCACGTCAGATTTTACCGGCGAACTTTAACGAGAGCGAGGAGGCCAAAGTTCCTTCGGTTTTCTCGAGCATTATGCATAAGTTCGTTAAGGTCGATGATAGAGAAAAACCTAATGAGAGGTAACCTCGTTTTTTCTTTTTCTTTTTCTAATATAATTTCGAATATTAATTAAAATCTTTGAATTGATGACTATCTAGGTAACTATGAATGGAATTGAATTTTTTTAATAAATAATTTGTATATTCTTACTGCGATGTTTTGTGTTGATAATTGATTTCTTTAATTTGATGTGGTTTTCGAGTTGAAGTTATTATTAGTGAAGTGAGTTTGTGGAGTCAATGGGGACAAATGTGTTCTAAGGGCATTTTTGGAATACCTTGAGTTCTTGTGAATGATTTTGGTGCTGTGAACATATATCAAATGATTTCAGGATTTAGTGTTTAAACTGTGATGCGATAACCTTCCCTTTTAAAATGGTTCTTAGTACAACTAGTTGCTTTTTCTTTCAACAAGTGCTAACATTAAATAAGTGTTAAATCAGTGTCCTTCTACCCTGCCACCTCAAATTTATTTCTTAGTATGAATTTATGCCTTCCTAGAATGAAGATTTTAATTAGTATCACTTAATGGGTGTGATATAAGTAGGTAACTAATCTATTTATTGTTTATTGTTGCAGGAACCAGGTTCGTTCTGCTAATGTTTGCACCATACCTGGTACATTTACCAACCCAAAAGAATTGCCTAAGCAAGGAATGGATACACTATACTCTGAGAAAGACAATGGTTTTAGTTCCAATGGCATGGCTGTTCAAACAAGTGTATTAAATGATGAAAGCGAGGATGATATTCCTGGGCCTAATACGCCAGGCATGCGACCTCTAGTTCCTCGTTTGAAGAGGATTCTAGAGGATGGTCCTAAGTTTGAGAATAAGAATGGCTGTTTCTTGCCCAACTCTAGCAAAAGAATGAAAGTTCTACAGGACTCAGCTTCCTTGAACAAAAATCATGAGGAAATATCTAATTCAACTAGCAAGTTTGAATGGCTTGACCCTGCCCGAATTAGGGATGCTAATGGTAGAAGGCCCAGTGATCCTCTGTATGACAAAAAGACGCTTTACTTACCACCTGATGCGTTGAAGAAAATGTCTGCTTCTCAAAAGCAATACTGGACTGTCAAATCTCAGTACATGGATGTTCTACTTTTCTTTAAAGTGGTTAGTGATATTGCTGCTTTTTTTTTTAATCCTTTTTAAGTTTCTAACACTTGTTTGACGTCATAAGGTTACATTTGATCATGACCTGGTTATTTGTTCTTATTTTCTAAGAAGTTTCTGTTTCTTTGCTAAATGAAGCATCATCAGCAACCAATTCAATTTGAAAAGAATGATGTAATGCTAATCATGCATCATTTTCCTCTTAAATTTCTGCTTTCTTATCAATAGTGGAACAAAATACAATTTGTACTTTGGGCTTTACAATCCAATAGGAAACAAGAGATATTGCCACTGCAAAGCTAACATCATGGAGCCAATGTTTGCATGTGGTGCTTCAAATGTAGCTTGTGTTTTAACTCTCTCTCTCTCTCTCTCTCTCTGTCTCTCTCTCTCTCTATATATATATATATATATATATATATATATATATTTCTGTTAACTGAGATTAATATTTAAACATTTATTAATGTGTGGCAAGGTGGAAAGTTAGAACTTTTTTTTAGTGACATCCAAAGTTCTGGGTTCTGAAATCAGATCAATATGTTTATGTATGATGAAACACAGGGAAAATTTTATGAGCTCTATGAACTGGATGCTGAAATTGGTCACAAAGAGCTTGATTGGAAAATGACATTAAGTGGTGTGGGGAAATGTCGGCAGGTGACTTCAAAGATAAATTTTTCAATTTAATAGCCAGTTTTAATTGCCACAATTACAATTATATGTCTATGTGTTTTATTTAATAGCATCTGCTTTTTTTATCAGGTTGGTATATCTGAAAGTGGGATTGATGATGCTGTTGAAAAGCTAGTTGCTCGGGGGTGAGGGCACAGTAGTCCTTATTGCTGAACCATAATTTCCTTTTTTCTCATTGTTATGTTATGCCTTCAACAAGAATGAAAGATTTCAGTGTTACTAGTTTCATGTCTTTATTTTATATAGTTAAAATCGTTCTTAAGTACAGCAAAATGTTATGCAAAATTGTAAGATGTCAGCATGTAGACCAGATTGGCCATCTGTCATGGGAAATTTTTTTTTCCCCTGCATCTAAGATGCACAATGAAAAGACAAGCATTTTTCAACTTGCATTGTGCATCCTTTATGTCAATCATATATTGGCTGAAGATATGAAACATGATCTTTTTACTCAACTCTTTGTGCTTAGTTGAGTCAATTCCATGTTTGCTTTCCACATTTCTTGTCCAGAACGTTTACAATTCACTTATTGCTTTTGCGTTCTTTGGCAAGATTTAAAGTCGGAAGAGTGGAGCAATTGGAAACATCGGATCAAGCAAAATCTAGGGGTGCAAATTCTGTGAGTTTTCCATGTAGCTTTAAAGGAGACATGTTTCTGATAGAGTTTATTTATTTATTCATGTTTCAGACAGATATGACATCTTTTGCACTTCCCTCTTGTACCTAGTAATGATTGTGTTCTCAACACTATACATCAATTTTGGTTTTACTTCCCTCTTGTACCTAGTAATGATTGTGTTCTCAACACTATACATCAATTGTGGTTTTCATTAATTCTAATGAAACTGAAGTAGTTTAATATAAACCGCAATCAAGGCATGTCTGTCTGATATTGCTGTGATAATGTTATGAAGAGATTAATTGGTGGTTTTCTATGATATATCTGATAATTTTAGCTAAGGACTTCAGCATACATTTGCAGTATGCAATTATTGTTGTTGGTGTTTTGCCGCTTATGATCTCATCTATCTTTGTGTTTCTTTATGATGCCATGATGTGGGAACTGTCTGAGTTCCTTGTTTGATCATTGATGTTGAATTTCAGGTAATCCAAAGAAAATTAGTACAAGTTGTCACCCCATCAACCACAACTGATGGTAATATGGGCCCTGATGCTGTTCATCTTCTTGCCATAAAAGAGGTTTGCAATGTTTACCTTGTACTTGGATTAGAGCGTATTGATTGACTTCTTACCATTTTCTTCTGCAACAACATTCTTCTTGTTAAACACTCTCAAATTGTTGCATCTAGCTCATCTTCAATTTCAAAATATTGCTGAAATAATCTTTTGTGCGAGCTTATTCTTTGATTGCATCACTTAACTGAAGAACAGTTTTGTCTTGAAAAACTCACATTTTCCTAATATCAGGCTATTGATAAATCCTGAGTTAAAAGAGCAAAGCTCTGAATTGTGATGGAATCATTTTTCTTCTTTATCAAAACCTTAAAAATGAACTGTCTGTTTTAAATTTTTTGATTACTTCTTGTCCATATAGCATGTAAGATATGCAGTTGACTTTATTATTTTCTATCAGTGTTTGTTTTTATAAACTTAACCAGCTTGGAGAATTAGAACTTTGGTTTCATTTGTTTTTCTATTCCTTTAAAATCTGCTTGTTATTTTGTGCATTTCTTGGAAGTTTATTGCGCTATACCATCTGTGTATTCCTTTGGATGGTATCTTTAGGGAAACGTTGGAGTGGATAATGGTGCAACTGCTTATGGGTTTGCTTTTGTTGATTGCGCTGCTCTGCGAGTTTGGGTTGGATCCATCAATGATGATGCATCCCAGGCTGCTTTGGGGGCACTATTGATGCAAGTATGTCCTCCCTTTATCTTTCTTGTTTGTGTAATGATTTCTGTGTGCTCTCAAGTGCTTAACATTTGAATCTCTTCCTGGGATTTGATTATAGGTTTCACCTAAGGAAGTTATATACGAACATAGAGGTGCATTAATTTCCTTTTTTTTTTTTTAAATCTTTTGGGCTTGGAATTTTTTTTGCCTAGTTTAAAGCTTGAGGGTTTCTATGTTACAGGGCTTTCCAGAGCAGCTCAGAAAGCACTTAGGAAGTACTCATCAACTGGTAATTTTATACTGAACTTTTTCATACTTCGAGATATATCATATATATTTAAGATCAAGGATTGCACTTGCATATATATTTACTGGTGTTTCTTGATAAGAAGGGAAGAATCTGTACGCCTGCCTTGGATGATTGCATGACTTCGGAACTTTCCATTTTCCAGAAAATATTTTTGTTATTTTGCATATATTCATTTAAAAGATTAGCTTGATCTTCCTTCTTACCTTTTCTTATCTCCTGTGTCATTACTTTGCCTTTTTACTATAATTTGTTTGTAAAATCTTCTTGAAAATTAACGAGTCATCTGGACAACAACTTGAAACTTGCTGGATGTTTTTCGGATGCATAAAATATGCAAGATGATTAGTATGCGTTCTGGCTAGCCTTTGTAGCCTTGGTAAGAGTTAGTAACTCATCCCATTTTTTAGTAATTTCAGGTTTAGCTATAAGATACGCTGTGCACTTTCTCAATGCACCAATGCGTTCAGGTTGTCTTATTAGATAACAAGTTGCATGCATGTATTTTGATGGGATTATGCTCCTGCATGCATATTATTGTCTTGGCTGTGTTGCTTGATTCAGTGTGAATTTCTTTGCAAGGTTATTAATAAATCTTTGATAGTTGCCTTTGTTGGCTGCGATGCACATGGTAGTTGGTCAATGTGAGATCCAACTGTGGTAGCCAGCTAATGGACTCCTGGCTGGTGAACGTAATCTAACCATACTCCCAATTATACATCTCATGACTTTTAAATTACATGTCACCTTTTTGAAGTGGTTCCTGTTTATTGATTAGCCACCTGCTTTATGGATCTTTTAAACAAGTCTTTCTACGTTTGGTTTATTGCTGAAAAATCTGTCATTAAAGGGATACGTAAGTTTATGATCCAAGCTATCATGAGAAGCAAGACTTCATTTATTCACCCCCACCCCCCTTTACAGGTTCTACAACCCTGCAATTGTCACCAGTGCTGCCTGCCACTGATTTTGTGGATGCTTCTGAAGTCAGAAATTTGATTCAATCAAAGGATTACTTTAAACGGTCTTCAAATCCATGGAACTGTGCACTTGACAGTATAATGCACCATGATATAGCTCTATGTGCTCTTGGCGGGCTTATTGGTCATCTATCCAGGTTGATGGTATGCTTGCCTGTCAACCTCATCCTCCCTTCCCCTCCCTGGTTGGCCTTTTAACTGTTAAGATTCCTGATTATTTGTTGCTTATAAAGATTTTTGTACCTTTTCTTTTGTGCAGTTTGATGATGTTTTAAGGAATGCTGATATTTTACCCTACCAAGTTTATAGGGGTTACCTTAGAATGGATGGGCAGACTCTGGTAAATCTGGAGATTTTTAGTAACAGTGCTGATGGTGGTTCATCAGGCCAGTGTTTTCATTCCTTGATCTCCCATGATCATTATAACAATCCTCAAATCTTTGGTTTTGATTCTTAAGAGTTTTAAATTAAATATCGAAAGCCTTTTCTCTTGGTGATATCAGGTACTTTGTTTAACTATCTTGATAATTGTGTGACATCATCTGGTAAGCGGCTTTTGAGGAATTGGATCTGCCATCCACTGAAACATGTTGAAGGCATTAATAATAGACTTGATGTTGTTGAACATCTAATGGCTCGTTCAGAAATTATGTTAGTCATTGCTCAATATCTTCGCAAGCTTCCAGATTTGGAAAGAATGCTTGGACGAGTTAAGGTTAGCTTTCAGGCCTCAGCTTCCCTTGCACTGCCCTTGATTGGCAAAAAAATGTTGAAACAACGAGTAAGTTATCTACTTTCATGTCAAATCTTTAGATGTCAAACATGTCTTTGGGTGTAGATTTACAATGATTGTCATAGGGTGTCACAATTCAACAATTCTCTAGGCAGTCTCAAATCTTCTATTGAAGTGGCAGAAGTGTTGTGTAGGTGAAAGTGTTCGCGTCTCTGGTGAAAGGGCTTCGGAATGGAGTGGATTTATTATTGCTATTACTGAACGAAGGGCAACTAATTTCATCATTGTCAAAAATTTTTAAACTTCCAGAGTTTCATGGTAGTAATGGGATTGAAAAATTCCTTGGGCAATTTGAAGCAGCTATAGATAGCGAATTCCCAAACTACCAGGTCTGCGTCTGGTTTATGTTCTCTGATATGTCAACCAATGTTTTTCTCTTTTTCCCCGTTTGGATGCTTGTGTGTCTGCGTGAGATGATGTGGGTGTATTGTTTTTTATGAAATTATATTAATTGTTTTATACTAATCTATTTGTTCAAGGCTACTATTACAAATTTTAGTTGTACATGAGTTATATGCAACGTGGTATTTAGCTGTTATGCTTTCTTTTTCACAGTTCAACATTTGGTCTCAATTGATTCCCCCTCAGATGCATTACATTTCTGCAGTAAACATAGGACTTTTGGCACTTTTGGCATGCTTGATAACTGAGCATGCATTTCTTGGTTAGAAACCACACCACCACCCCCAACAAAAACACACACTTGCGCACGCATAAATATATATGCATGTAAGTATATGTATGCAAGTTGCCCTTTATTGATTGTTTAACAATATAACTATTTCAATTTGGAACTTCTGTACTTTCTTGCAAGTGTTTTTTTCTGTGTTGATGTTATTGTGTTCAAGTTTTATGCCTGCTTCTGCACATTACTGATATTATATTTTGTACCAGAAACATGATGTGACAGATTCAGAGGCTGAAACGCTTTCTGTGCTGATTGAGTTATTTATTGAGAAAGCTACAGAGTGGTGCGAAGTCATTCATGCCATCAATTGTATTGATGTGCTTAGATCTTTTGCATTCACAGCAAGCATGTCTTGTGGAGCTATGTGTAGACCTGTTATTTTGCCTGAGTCAAAAGCCATTTCTTTCAGTGAGGGGAAAGGAGGGCCTGCACTTAAGATTAAAGGGCTATGGCACCCATTTGCGCTCAGAGAGAATGGATTGCCTGTCCCAAATGATTTGTTCCTTGGTGAGGATTCAGATAGCCAATGTCCCCGCACTTTGTTGCTGACTGGACCAAATATGGGTGGAAAATCAACACTTCTGCGTGCTACATGTCTAGCTGTTATACTGGCACAGGTTTGACTTGTGTAGAGCCGAGCTTGGAAAAATTACTTTTGTAGCTCTTACACCCTTAAGAAATTCTTTTCTTTGGTATGTTTTAACCATATGGTTTTTGATTTTATGGCAATTTTGCAGCTCGGTTGTTTCGTTCCCAGTGAGAAGTGTGTTCTCACACTTGCCGATATCATTTTCACACGGCTTGGTGCCACTGATCGAATAATGACAGGCGAGAGTAAGTTGTAGCAAGATAACAGTTCACTGGTGCATTTGGAAGTTTTCTTCTCTTCATCTGATCTAAATTCACATTCAACATGCAAATTTTATATTTCAGTTTAAGCAGTTTTGTGGTCCAAATCATAATTATCCCATTGCAAGAATAAATTCTAGCAAGTGTTGACTGTTTTATTTGAAATCCTGCTTTTTGTCTGATGGTAACAAATTTGCTTATTTGATGGTAAAATTTGGTCTTATGGATTCTTTTAATGTTTTATAAACAAAAAGTTAAAATTTTTAAATCTATGTTATTATTTAGCATGCTCTGAATCTCTCCTTGAGTCAAGTTATTAGAAAGGATTCATAATGCCTATAAATGTCATGGCAGATATCCTCAGGTTGACAGTTTTATGTTATATGCAGTGGTTGGCTTACTCTACTGGAGGCCTGATGTAAATGGTTGTGGTCTAATAAACCTTGTCCATCTAAATCTTCAAAATCTCATCAAGGCAATTTAAAATGGTTGTATGATTTCAAATATGCGCAAGGTAAAAAAAAAAAAAAAAAGAACAGAAAAGAAAAAAAAAGAAGAGGAAATCATTGTAGACTGTAAAGGCACCCATGCACTAACTTGGCCTACAATCCCGGATGTCTCACTTGCACGTACTAGACCAAAGAGTCCTCTAAAGGTTGGAAGTGAGAATTGTACAAATACTGCTTGATGTGATCCAACCACATGCATTAATGAGTGTGTGCTTATACGCTTCTTAATTCTGGAGTTTGATAATGGAAATGAGCTCGTCATTTTCTAGGTACATTCTTCATCGAGTGCACAGAAACAGCTTCGGTGCTTCAAAATGCCACTCAAGATTCCCTTGTTCTTCTAGATGAACTGGGTCGAGGAACAAGCACTTTTGATGGATACGCCATTGCATATGCTGTGAGATTTCTTTGTTATTGACCTAATATTCCTAGATTTACTTGTCCTTTTTATTCCATGACTTAGAAGAACTAGTATTCTATAATCTATACAGCAAACTCCTTTAGAATATATATCAATATTTGTCATCTCTGTGGCTGTTCGCATCCTTGGTTCTAGTCAAGTCGTACTTTTGGCCTTAATAATGAAAACATATCTTGCATATTGGAGCATCTTTTGGTCATCGTGATCATTGATTTCTGTGTTTTGGCCTTAGGCAAGTCCTTGTGTTTCATGTAGAACTCTAGTTGCTATACACATGGATACGTGCTGATACAAATAATTTGTAATGTCAAAAATGTTGTGGCTCTAAAATGCTCTCTTCCGCTATTCTATGAACTGATAGATCTGTTACCTATAATAATAACAAGCTGCATGCATCTTATTGCATTTCAAAACAACTTCATTTGCCCATTATAATTGAAGTTGGATGGTGTGGTTTCATTAGTAAACTGTTTCTGATCATTCGTACAGGTATTCCGCCATCTTGTTGAGAAGATAAACTGTCGATTACTTTTTGCAACACACTACCACCCGCTCACAAAAGAATTTGCTTCTCACCCACATGTTTCATTGCAATACATGGCTTGTGCCTTCAGGTCAAAACCTGAAGGGCATTCTAAAAGTGACCAGGACCTGGTCTTCTTGTATCGGCTTGTATCTGGAGCTTGCCCAGCGAGCTATGGATTGCAAGTGGCAAGTATGGCTGGCATTCCAGAGCAAATTGTTGAAGCTGCTTCACATGCTGGTCAACTGATGAAAAAATCAATTGGAGAAAGTTTCAAGTCAAGTGAGCGGAGGTCCGAGTTCTCAACTCTCCATGAAGAGTGGTTGAAGACCCTGGTAAATGTCTCAAAAATCCGAGAATGTAATGCTGACGATGATGACATTTATGACACATTGTTTTGCTTGTGGCATGAATTGAAGAGCTCGTATGAAAACTTGTTGCTGAAAAAGTTGATAGAATCTGCATAATGTATTATAGAAATCCTAATCTGAAGATGAATTTTTTCTCATGTTATTATGTTCTGAAATGAGAAGGAAGATCATATCCTTTTGTTCACTAGTTGCATTGTGACTCTGGCAAATGAAAATTGAGGCAGGAATTTGCTAGGGGGTGCAGAATCATTTTCCTTTCCAGTCTAGTCTCAACTCTCATAAGAGATGAGGTTGCTCAAATTGAAATAAAACTACTACTGACAGTTTAGCCGTCTAGGTAGCTTTCCCTCCTGTTATACGAAGTGCGAACTGGCACGTTTTTTCAGCCGTTTAGTTTTTTTATTTTGTCATTACTAGTGCATAAAAAGAAAATAATAAAATAATAAAATAAATTAATTATAAATTAAGATAAATAAGGAATTAAAACTTTTTATCTTTATTGTTAGGAAATTTAAGAGTTAAATCACATCACTATATTTTATGGTGTAAAGATGACTAAACAACTAAAAAATATGTTTTTTTTCTTTTTTTCGGTCCGTTGCTGTAGCCAAGCTTTTAGAAAACTTTACTTTTTATTTTGGCTTTTAATAAAACTTTATGTTCTTTCTTGGTTCCTATTTTGTGATATTTTTTTATTTTATTTTAGTCATTAAAGTTTTATCATATTTGATTTTTATTCTTACTATATTAAAACTAAATAAAGTTTACTATCCTAAGCTATTTTTTATTTTTTGCTTTTAGTGAAATTTTTCTTTCTATTATAATTCATATTTTGTGCTTTTTTTTTTGTTTTGACCATTAAATTTAGTATAATTTTATTTTTGTTTTAGTCCTTGTTTTGTAATTATTTTTTATTTTGATCATTAAATTTTTTCCCTACAAGGAACTATTTTTTACTTGTAGTAAATTTTTTTTTGTTATGTTTTGATTTTTGTTTAGTGATCTTTCTTTTATTTTGATTATTAAATTTTTATTAAATTTGATTATTATTCATTCTACACTAAAATTAAATACAGCTTTCACTATTTTAAGTTTTTATTTTTGGCTTTTAGTAAAGAACATTTTTTGTTTTGATTCTTATTTTGTTAATTTTTTTTTTGTCATTAAAATTATATCATGTTTTACTTTTGTTCTTGCCTTATGCATAATGAATTTTTTTTTTGTCTTATTGTTTATAAGTTTTTTTTAATTTATTTTGATCATTCTTTTATGATCTTTACTTTGTTTTGATCATGTAATTTTTATTGTGTGTAATTTTATCTCTATTTTTTTTGGCTATATTCTCGATTTGACAAAGCTTTTTGGTTTTTTTTGTTTTGTTTTGTTTTGTTTTGTTTTGTTTTGGGTAGTCTCTCTATCTCATTAACAAGCTATAGATGAATAATATGTGGTAAAAATTAATCATCTAAAATTTTAAAAACTACTACATCGGTATTTTAATTACTAGTTACTATACATATTTTAAATAAAATACATGTTTATATCAAACAATATCTAATTAGCAATATTATATTACTCAACTTTGTAGATTTTTTTGTTTAGCTAACCTTGTAGCAAAATATGAAATATATGTTTTGGTTCTTTTTTTTGAAATTTTTTGTGTGATCCTTTTAAATAATTATTTTTCAAATTTGTATTTTATATGGATGAATATATAAGAATATTGTATAGCTCATCCCGCAATAACGCGCAGGATATATGCTAGTATATAGCTCGGAAAAAAATGCTGTTTTTTTATAATCAATGATTACAATTAAATTAAAAATGATAAGTAACTTTAACTTAATAAAACATGTTTTTTTTTTAATTTTCCTTTTTAAATGAATTAGGTCTGTTATGAAACTCGTTATCATAGCAATTTCTAAAACAAGTACAAATCTTTTGAAACGATTGCCTTGGTTTTTTTTTTTAATAATTAACGTAACTTTTCATAGTTTATTAAAAAATATTCCAACAATCCTCCACTTATTTTTCAATAAAATATTAGCCGTATTTTTTAGTAGGAAAACGAATATAATACATAATATGGGTGTTAATGGCTTGAACTATTACTTAGTGTTTCAATAATATTATTTGCAAGCCAATAATGAACATTGTCTTAAGCTAAGGCTTTTTAGGAAAAATAAATATTATATTCGAGTACTTTACGATAAGTTTCGGAACTAGTACATTACGACCTTATGCTTGATCCCAACCTCTTTGAGTGTTCTTGAGAATTAAACCATTTTCTCATAGGAAGCGGTTCCATTTCCTCACTCACATAGGTGTGTCTATTAAGAATGCTCTTATAATTTTAACATCTCATTAAAAAAAAAAACCTATATATCACATTAAAAGTATTATTTAAAGAAATTTAACCTCTCTTTTGTGATGATATTCATGCACTACAATATAGGGATGAATATATAAGTATTGTAACTCAAATTGTGCATATAACCGAACTACTCTATGCTTATTTTTCTCTTTGAATCTAGTTCTTGGGATCTCTAATCCCTAGATATAGTATTTATATAGATGATTTTATTTATTTATGAGCTTAGTCCTATCCCTCTCGATGCATTATTCAATCCTTTAACCTTAGCTAAAGATAGTCTTACAATTTTCAATATATATACCCAAAGAATTAAGTAATCAACACTTAATTAGTTTATTAATGTTAAAGAAAGTGGTAGAAATTTTACTTTTTTTTTTGCTTTAGACAAAGCATAATATCCACTTGCTTCTTCATTGGATTTGATTTTTATCCAATTTAAGTTTCACCACATACATATTTGAGCCAATGATAAACATACTATTAATTATTTCTCACACAATCAACATCATCATGTAAAAGCATGATGGCATTATTGTATTTTATTTTTTTAATAACACAATAGAAAACATTGAATATAATCCGAGAGAGGCATTTTTCGATCTCTAGTTTCTCATACAATTTTTACATCATTGTATCTAATCTATACAATAGGAATGGCATTTAGCTAGACATTAAAATGTTCAAGTCTTCATTAATTGTCTTATCGGATAATGTCATTACAAGCACAATTATACTTTAATTGTACAATAAACATGTTTCTAATGTTACTTATTAGATAATATCATCAAAATACCATTATATCCTAATTGTACAACAGGAATGTCACTAATTCCATCATTCTCTCAACAATATATTTACTAAAAAATTTGATAAACATCATTATACCTTTTGTATAATAGAAATGCTTTTATAAATATTTCTAGCATTATCACATTAAAAATGCATGTGGCAAATAAATTTAAGCATCATGAGAGAATTATGATCATTTATCTTGAATTACATGATATTTTTTCGAACAAAATTTCAATGCAATAGCATTTTTTATGCCCGCACTATTAACATAATATATATTTTCAATGAATAGTATTTTTTATATGCCCAACTATTCACATAACATATATTTTTCTTACTACCATTATAGATAAGATGATAGAATAAATTATTCTTTTATTTTATCATTAACATTCACAATCTATTTCTTTTATGGCCTAATAATCAATAAGATATATATATTTTAAAAAATAAGATAACATGTCAAATTTTTATTTTTACATAGAAGATAATATATGAAAAAATCTTAATTAAATCATGAATCTTGGCAATTTATCTTACTAATAATCAGTCGACAAGAATATTATTATCACAATTGCTTATATCATCACAATTAGGTATGAGTTTCAAACACAAATTACAACGAACAATTTCAACACGAGTCATATAAAAATAATTGACATTTAAACTACAATTGATCCTAATCGTGTGACCTCTCAAGTCTTAATAAAAAAATTATGTGAATCAACATTAATTTACAAAAATTTAATAACAAGAATTTATATGATAATTCACATTTTTCTTCTATTTTTTTTTTGAGAAAAAGACTTTTTTTGTACCCAAATTTTGATATTCGATAATTGATTTCGTATGATTGACTACCCAAGATTTATTTATTTTTTTTCATGCTTTGGCTCCCGATGTCATATGAGACATAATTTTACCGATATGTCCAACAAGAGATGCCATGTCGCATTTTTTGATCGCCACGTGGTAGTAGTTACACCGAGATGTTGGAAAAAAATTAGAAGGCCACAACTAACATTAGTTTGAAATTTAAGTTGGAAGGAAAAAAAATAATATAGGTAGGATTTAAAGTTAAACATGTCGTTTAACTTTAATAGAAAAATAATTAAACAAATTAGTTGGCGACTTACGGGGGGGGGGGGGGGAGAGAAAGATTATTTGTTTTCATCGAGAGGAGAGACAAGAGGAAAAACCCTCAATTGGCTAAAAAAAATTATATTGTTGGTGAGATTAGATCGATAGAAAGGAAAAAAATAGGTAGAAAATGAGGGGAAAAAAGGGAAATTGAGGCGGGATGGAGGCAAAAAATGTTATAAATTTCAAGAAACGAGGTCAATTTTGTTGACACCACGAATCTTCAATCTTGTTCTATTTAATTGGTTGTTTGATTATTTTGATAATAATGCCGGGTAAATGTGTTAGGGTGTTAATGGTAGGGTAATATGGGGTATTGTATTTTCTATGTGGGCGGTATAGTTAGAATTAGTAAATTATTCAATATTTGTTTGTGTTTCTCTATTTCTCTCTTTATTCTCTATCTCCGAATGTGAGGGTGTTTTTTTTTTAGACAACGAATATTCAACCTTGTCTTCTTATTGTATTGTGAAAAGTGATCCTATTTCTTACTTAATATTTTCAACAAAACTCGTTATGTTGAGTATCATGGTGGGTGCTTACAACACCGACTTAATATGGGTTATATAAACGGTAAAAAAATTCATAAAAAAAGAGTGGATCCTAATAGTGTTAACTTAATTGATTTTAAAAATGAATGGCCTAGTGGATTGGGAGATTTGATATTTTTAGATTTTGGTATAGAGTCCTTGGCATGAAATTGCCTTAGATATTAAAGTTTGCTATGAATGATGGATGCTCAATAGAAATGGACAACATAATAAGTCAACATAAGGCAATCTAAGTCTTT